TTTTATTGTTTCTTCTCTTCATCTTCTTTTATCTAAACACAAAAAAAAAAATTATAAAATATTACTATAAAATAAAACGCACAGTTCACGAAAATTGTTTCTTTCCCTTTCATTACTTCTCAGTTTCTCTTTAATTTTTTGCTGCGCTCTTTGCATTTATTTAACTATCAATAYACAGTAAACGAAGAAGAAGAAGGAGGAAAAGTAATATGTTGTAAGATTGTTTAAATAAGAATTTATCGTTTAATTGTAATCAAAATTAAGAAAAGGGCGCTCAGTTACTCGCGAATATTATAAATTATTTCTTCAGCTTAACAATCAACTGACCATTCACAAAGACTTTGCCTAATAAATACAATGCATACTTAACGCTTGCTCGACTTTATGCGAAATGAAATTAAAAAAAAAAAAAAGATTAATAATAATAGAAATGTTCGCCTAAATATTGTATGTACAAAGAAGAAAAAACCGATTGGGTTCAAAGTTTGCAACTAAAAACACGATAAATATCATATCATATCAAGAAAAAAAAAAAAACTTGCAGAGAAGCGATAGGTGGGAGCGAGAGAGGGTAGCAAAAGGATTGAAATCGATAAAAAATCAAAACTTAATTTTAAATACTTTTTATCATATATAAAGAACAAATTTGCATATTTAAGCATAAGTATGTTTCTTTGTTTTCTTTTGTTTTGTTTTGTTTTGTTTTGGGGCATATCGACGACATTTATGTAATGAACACGCACATAGATAACAATTCGAATCGATTCGCATCTCTTCTCCTTTTTTTAGCTGATAACATGTATGTATGTATAATGTATATTTTATGTATATGCATAACTCTTGAACAATCAATTCATCAATTTTGTTTTGTTTTTCTTTTTCACTACCAAATGCGAACAACTCCAATTGTAACTCCAACTCCAACTTCAACTTCAACTTCAACTCCAACTCCAACTCCAACTACATATTCATATTCCTATATTCATATATGCAGGTGCTTAATGCAAAACTCTGTTTAATGTATACATTTGGTTACAATGTAATATGTATATGTACGTATGTAATATGCTGAACTATGTAACAAACAATTGCCAAATGGCGCTCAACATTGTATATATGTATGTATGTATGTATAGACGATTTGCAACTCCAAAGATAAACAGACATTTAGATAATTTTCTTGTTCACAAACCAACAAATATTGTTGCGTTTCTTTTTCTTTTCGTTTTCCTTTTATGGAATTTGTATAATTGATGCTATGCAGACGTTTCCAAAATTGACAGAATTGAATTCGTTGAAACATGTTAAACGTGGCCTAACGATCTTAACACACACACAGACGCCCGCACACGCACACACGCTCACACTCACACACGCACAACACAACAATTGATATGTCTCAAATTAATTTTGTATTTCCTTTATATATATATATATGTATATATATGTATGTAAGGCAAATAAATGCGTAAATTTCGATAAGCACTCGCTGGAGTATCGTATTGTATATATATGTATGTATACATATTTCTTTTAGATAACTGCAATTTGCAATTTGGCCAATACATTGCAGCCGTTACCCTAGCTCCCTCTCGCTCTGGCTCCCATTTCCTATTCACCTCTCGTTCGCTATCGCCGTCTCGCTCCACATTCATCTGCGCCCCGACACAATGCCAAAGACAACGGCCACTCGTCTTACGAAATACTCGATATTCATCTACATACGCATGTGAACTTATCTATCTAGATCTTTATATATGTTTGCATATATATATGTATATATTATTCTTATTATCATTATGTAGATTTATGTTTATATAATTCCAGATCAACTTAACAATATATTGGGGGTTAGCTTGGGAAATCGGCTGGGTTAGTGGGGGGGGGGCGGGGGCATGGTGAGTTGAGTGTATGTGTGTGTAGGTGTATATGTGTGTGTGTGTATGTGTGTGTGGCTTATTCTTCTTTTATTTAGATCAACTAGAGGCTAATAACATTAACTAAGAAACTCCAAATCAAACAAAACTTCCCGCAAGACACGCGTAGACGTCGACAATTTTGGCAATTGGCAGGCAACTGCTCCCTTGGGTCAATTTGGATCCCTTGGCTCCCTGAACTCCCCTGGCCCCCGTCCGTCTCCTGATTGATCTGCTCGGAGGCGGGCATGCGGCAGCTAGGGCGCCGACCACGCCTACACGTTCAGGCACTGCTACATGCAGCAAAGGAAGCGGTGAAAGAAACTTTTGGCATTGCGGCGCACACGTTCGGCCCTTAGCTAACAGATGATGCCCTGGTCCAAGCTCAGGTTGTTGGTGGCGGCGGCAGCGGCATTCTTGGCGGCGATCACCGCATGATGATGATGATGATGATGGTGCATATGATGGCGATGCAAATGATGTGCCGCCGCCGTCGCTGTCGTTGGCATCCGTCCATTCAACAGCAGCGCCGAGCTGCTGCCACCTGCGCTGCCGCTGCTGCTGCTGCTGCTGCTGCCACTGGGATTGTTGCTGCTGCTGCTGCTGTTGGTATTACTGTTGCTGTTGGAAATTGAGTTGGGGCTGCTACAGCTGCTGCTGCTGCTGCTGCTGCTGCTGTGTTGCTTCTTGTGCACAGCGGTCAGTGGCTCTGAGGCACGTCGCACATTGTTGCAGCTGACTGGGCCGTTGCAACTGTTGCTGCTGCTGCTGCCGCTAACACTGCGACGCATATTGCTGCTGCTGCTGTTGCTATTGCTGTTGCTGTTGCTGGTCGGTGGCATCGCAATGCTGGGCACTGAGCACTTGCGGGGCTGCTGCAGCTGCAGCTGCGTTCCTGTGGACGCCAGATTGCCATTGGAGCTGGTGTTGTTGTGCGCCTCGAGCTCGTCCAGCTGAAACTTCTTGACCAAGGCCTTGACCGACGTCGCCGAACTGGCCTCCGTGGCGGGTGTCTTGCGTATGACTTTGGGCGTGGTCGGCGCATCCGGGAACAGCGCCAGCGTGGCAATCACTGTCGTCTCCTCCAGCCCATTGCTGCCGATCTGTATGGTGGCCGTGCTGGCCATTGGCTTCTTCACAAACGTCGCCGTGTAGGTGTTCTCCTTGTCCGAGTCCGAGGCGCGTCGCATCGGTGTCACAATCTGTGTGGGCTTCGTTGCATTTGTTGTCGCCAGCGACATGGTCAGCGCCTGGGGCAGTGTGTGTATGGCCGTTGTGGTCTCTGTGCTGGGGCTCAGCTTGTGGCTGGTGGCGATTGGTATCTTCGAGCTGCCGTGTGCTCTGTGCCCATTGTGCGTCGCCTTGTTGCTTCCTGTTGCAGCGCCAACTGTTGCTCCTGCTGCTGTTGCTGCTGCTGTTGTGCCGTTTTGCTGCTGTTGCTGTTGCTGCTGTTGCTGTGAAACATTTTCAACGCCTTCATCATCCTCCTCCTCCTCGTCCTCATCATCRTCGTCCTCATCCTCATCCTCATCATCCTGCACAAAGTCGGCATCGTGCTGTGCTTGCAAGTAGATTTGCCTATTCAAGGAGCATTCGTCCTTTAGCCAGACGTGCTCCAGGCAGCCAGCGGCATTCATGCGATCGCTACAAAACGAAAGAGAGAGAGAGAGAGAGAGAGAGAGAGAGAGAGAGAGAGAGAGAGTAAGTTGAGCACAGAGAATTAAACTCAAATCGTACTCACTTTGGCTTAATTCGCAATGCGCGACGTATGAAATCAATTGCCGCCTGGGAGACGCCGCCGAAGAGATTGTCGGGAAAGGTCAGGGCGCACTGTGAGATATTGAGGAAGGTCTCCTGCTTGGTATCGCCGCCAAAGGGCGAGAAGCCCGACAGCAGCACGTAGGCCAACACGCCCACCGACCAGATGTCCGTCAGCAGCGACAATGGCTCGTACTGCAGCACCTCCGGTGCCACGTAGTCCGGAGTGCCGGCCATCTCGCGCACATTGATGCCCTCGCAGACGACGCGCGAGATGCCGAAGTCGCACAGCTTGAGGCCGTCTGTAAGGGAGTAGAGCGAGTTAATCAATCCAAGCTCAGGGCATTACGGCCATTCGCTATGCTCCGACTCACCCTCAATACGCTCGCCAGTCAGCAGAATATTCTGTGGCTTCAGATCCAAGTGGGCTATGGAGCGATCATGCAAGAACTTCAAAGCCTTGAGCGTTTCGCGCATGCAATGGCGCGCCTGCGCCTCGCTGAGGCACTCCTCGTTGTCCAGTATCGTTTGCAGCTCGCCGCCAGTGGCCCTGGAACGAAATCGAGGTAGATAAATACATTTAGTAGATATTCGTAATATATATGGTAAGAGATTATGAATTGCTTGCAATATTTAGTACTATTTATTACAAATATTTAAAAATACAATAAAAATAAGGTTGTAGGGAGTCTGCTTATTGCGTTCCTTCAGTTATTGCGATGAAAATTCGATGTTTTCGCTACTCCCCATACAAACTCATTTGAAAGGCATTTTCTGGATTCCACTGTATATATGATTCATTATATTCAAGTATTCTAAGCTAATGTAGGCACAATTGCTTCGCCATGAATCCTACGCAATTACAATTTTTGTAAGTGTAAATCA